TTTTTGCCTTAAGAATTTTGCCTTATTTTCAGGTCGGTCGTTACACTTTCAGAAAGGGGAATAATTTATCTTTTAGTAATGTATGTAATTGATATTTTTAAAAAATGCCAAGCTGTAGTAGACAACATAAAACCTTCTATTAGAATGTTCTTGAAGTCGTAGTAGACGGACGAGCTTTATTTTTCATACAAATATCTGTGAAGACCCACTTTTTAAAAGGACATATTTCCGTGAATATTTTCCGCACTTCATTACTAAACTAAACTAGACAAGTTTATGAGAAGTATATGTAAGTGATAAGGTAATTTTACTGGTATTAAGAAAGTAAGGATATAGGTTTGGAGCCACTATTAGGCTACCTAAGAGGTGGGGCCTCCAAATTGAAAATCCGTCTCTGATAGAACCGAATCAAATGGGTGGCGAGCCCTGAAAAGTCCACAAAACGACCTGAGCTTAAAACCGCCCAATCTGGAATTCGAACCAAGGACAAAAACCTTGCAGTTCAGCTTGATGCCAACTGAGCTAATGGAGCCCCTGCACAGGTACAGGGAAAGTTGCTGAGTCAGTTGTCTGAAAAATGGGACGTTCTTGTGCCGGCTAAATTGACTTACAGATTAGGATGACGTTGAAACCCCCGCCCCCTCCCCCATAAGAAACCCACCAAATCACCCGCTAAATAGATGGGACAAGGCATGTCAGATGATTAAGAAATTAATGTAGTTGACACATTAACTACGAAAAACTCAAACAATTAAAAAAACAACAACCCAAAAACAACCTAACAAAAATTAACAATGCAAAACGACCCCCACCCCCCCAAAAAAAACAACAAAAAACAACACACATAAAAAACAACACACACCAAACACCCCTCCTAACAAAACAAAAACAAAAACAAAAACCCCACCCAATGTAGATAATATAGGAGGCTGGATGCTTCAACGCTGCCTTCCAGGGCCAGTTGGCACTGAGAGGGATACAGCACCCCGTCAGATCGACTGGGGGATACTATCAGATAATTTCTTCACATGAGAATCAAACCCATGTGTTCTTCGTGGAACGGGTAAATAGTTTAGCCCCTACACCCCTGGTGTTGGTCAAGTTAGGTTAAGTTAGACCGTGTAACGCTGAAGACTCCTGGGATAATATTATGTTACAACAAAGGCAGAGTAATGTCCCTGATACATTTCACACCCTCATCGACACTATTTAGACTGTAATGGAAGCGCGCTGCTTTGACCTTAGCCGTCAGGGTCAGGGACAACCGCGGCTGAAAAGGATAGAACGTCCCACCAAGAGACGGAGATAATTAGTAATAATTCTCTTCCCCCCCCACCCCCACCCCCACCCCACACACACGGGAATCGAACTCGCGTCTTCTGCGTGTGACGGCGGACACATGTAACCACAACAATACAGACGCTGGGGTTTTCTAGTTAATATAGTTAGTTAGTTAGTCAGTAAGTTTGTTAGTTAGTTTATTTGTTTGTTTGCTTATTTGTTTGTTTATTTGTTTGTTTTCTATTGCTATTGTTTTTCTTTGCGTTAAAAATTGTTTTGTTTTGTGTTTTGTTTTTTAATTTGATTTTGTGTTTTTTTCTGTTCGTTTGGTTTAGTTTTTATTTGTTTGTTTTGTTTTGTTTTGCTTTGATTTGTTTTGTTTTGTTGTTTTTTGTTGTTGTTTTTTTCTTGGGGGGGGGGGGGGGTGGTCATGTGGTAGTAGAATTATAAATACAATGAAGACGACAGAGTTCCAAGTCTACGAGTCAAGCTGAGATATGTTTTTAAACTGCGTCACAGATAATTCTGTATTCAAGCGAATTCTGTTTCATATATGGGCATAAGGGTTGTCTTATTTTTCAATGCGATCTTATCATGCAGACCCGACAAATCAGGTGACTGTAAACCCTGCTTAATGCGGTGGTCAATCTGTTTTTGTTTGTTTGAAGGTATCGCTCTGTTCTTGTAACCCAGTTTTCAGGAGTCCTTGTGTCTTCAAGGGCTTTGTTTGTAGCTGCTGACATGATGATCTGACATGTCGTTGTCGTTTTTTTCATCGTCTTTGTCATCATCATCGAACTTATAGTTATTGCCACTGTCGTTGGAGTTGTCGATGACGATGATGTTTGATGCTGTTATCATCGTTGTCGTCATGGGTGCCATCATCGTTGTTTTCGCTGTTGTTTTCATGGTCTTCGTCGTCATCGTTGTTGTTGATGTTGTTGTTGTTGTTGGTGGTGGTGGTGGTGGTGGTGTTGTTGTAGTCGTCGTCGATGATGTTATTGTAATCAACTTTGTTGTAGTTGTTGTTGTTGTTGTAGTTGTTGTTGTTGTTGTAGTCGTTGTTCTTGCTGTCATTGTCGTTGTCATCGTCGTTGGTACAGTCGTCGTCATTGTTGTTGTAGTTGTCGTTGTCATCGTTGATATTGTAGTCACTGTTGTTGCTGTTGTTTTTAAAGGGTCCTTAAAAACGACATTGTAGATAAATGATCATTTCGATAATGATAATGGTTATGATTATGATTAAGATGATTTATGGTCAGTGTAATATTGTCATGGGATCATCATCAGCCTCAACGTTTTAAGGTTGATAAAGAGGCAGGACCTCTTTGCTTAAGGCCCAACTCCGATTAGACAGAACCAAGTAGACGGAGAGATTGTAGACTTACGAAACAGCTCTATTTCAAGGACACTTCTTGGGGATTCGAACTCGAGTCAACAGCATTTTAGCCCAAGAAAATAGCCAGAGAGCTAGCACCGTGCAATAAAGACGATTTTTGAGGAAGAAATCTCCAGAAAAAGAGAAGTAGAGAAAGAAGAATGGGGAGTGCACCTAAAGTGATTAGAATGAAAAAGACTTGAAAGGCTGTGGCTTTTGGGTTTTTTTTTTGTAAAAATGTTTTTTTCCCCTTGATCTATGGTTTTGTTATGTTTTGTTTTTGTTTCGTTGTTGTTTTCTACGTAATTTTTTTATTTTATTTTTGGTTTTTCATTTGCTTATTATGTCTAAGTTTGTTTGTTTGTTGTTGTTGGTCGTTTTTTTTTGTGGGGGGGGGGGGGTTGGGGGGGGGGGGGGTGAAAAGAGTGATTGGTGGTGGTGGGGGGTGGGGAGACAAGTAATTGACAATATGAGAAGAAAGATGAATGGCTAGAAAACAAGAATCGAGGCAGGACTGGGTCGTGGCTGAATAGAAAAAGAGGAAAACTAGAAAAGGGAAGGAAAATGAATAAACATATAATGTTTCGGTTTATATTGTATTACCATTTAATTGTATCTCTCAATGAACGCTCTGACAGCCATTTTCTGTATTTACTTTCGATATAATTTTAAGAAAGCAACTTTTGTTTTGTTTTTCTATCTATGGCTACTGAAATGAACATGGTAGAAAGCAAGGGTACGATATGTAAATCTTGATTTATCTAATAAATGGCATTAAAACGTCCCAAAACTGATTTTACTCAGATTGTTTGGGGCTGTGTGAAGGATTCAGGGGAAGGGTGTGTCGAAAATAATAGAGGAAATAGTAAATTGTTGCTTTTTCGCTGTGGACCTCAGGTCAGTGAAACGAAAAGGAAAGTTTTTTTTTTTTTTTTAATTTTTTAAATTCTGTATTCTAGATCTATTAAAAATCCTTTTACCTTCGCATTTCCTCTTTTGTTTTTTCGTGGAGTTCCTTTACCAGTACATTGTCTAGTATCTTCGCTAATTATTAGAATATCGGTTGGTAAGATACCTTCCGAGACTGTTTGTCTGTGAGACTTTAAAAAGAAACCCTTACTGTGCTTGAAATAATTGCTTTGTGACCCACAAACATAAAATAAGAAAAACTTTCGTACCCCTGCACCCCCACCCACCCACTCACACTCACACATCAAATACAATAAACATTATAATATGACGTAGCACTGCTTTCACGGGTCCTAAACACGGTGCATGATGACGTCCATCGTATGACGGGTCTCTCTCTCTCTCTCTCTCTCTCTCTCTCTCTCTCTCTCTCTCTCTCTCTCTCTCTCTCTCTCTCCCAAGCACCCTCTTCCCTAACCCCGTCTCTCCCCCAGCCCTCTCTCTCCCCAATGCTGACCGATTTTGCCTGCCAGACAGCTCTTGACACTACTCCCTTTCTTGAAGGTACCATGCAACCAAACCTCCCAACAGCCTCACCCCCCCCCCTTTCAAAACAACGAAAACTACTACTACTACTACTACTACTACTACTACTACTACTACTACTACTACTACTACTACTACTGCTACTGCTACTACTACGAGCGCCATGACAGGGTAAACTCGAATTAGAATATATTAGAATCTTTACAAGAATTTAACAGCTGCCCAAGTGGTGCAGGTTATTGTCTGTAGTAGACGCTATGTGAAATTGGATTGATTTTGCATGATATCACTGTTTTTCGAGAAACTTGAATAAGGTGTATTTTGACAAAAATTGAACTCACTTCATATTTGGAGTTACAGGAACTCCAAATCTGAGTAGGAATCTGGGTCCTTGAGAAAAACAATTATCACGATTTATTTGATTTATGGCTGGCGAGGAATGGTCCACCGGCGTCCATAGTAGCGCTCAGGCGCTTTCCTGTCGCACGCAAAAGACATGAGTTCGATTCCCGCCTGGAGAGAATTTTTATGGAATATCTCGGTCTTCCTACTTATAGGACGTTGTAAGCTTAATCCACTCAGTTTAAATTGATTCTGACAGGCAGCGTCGAAGCCCACCTTCTAAATTGTCTCAAATTATGTTGAAGAGGGCCTTAAACATGTACCAACATAGAATAATAAAATTAAGAATAATAACGGTTAAGAAATTTAGTTGTGTGTAACCTGAAACGGCAGCGACTGTCTGGGAGCCCGCGCCCGCGAAACCACGAGACGAGCGTCGGCGACGGCAATACGAACCCTGTGTGCCCAGCGCGCTGATAGACTTCGTGACGTAGTCGGTAAACAACACTCCTTCCTCGTCTTGTATAAAACATAGCTGCTGTTGCAATACTGTCTCAGAATTTCTTTTCAGTGAAGGGCTACCTTAAAGTTTTCATAATAGCTTAGATCTACTATATATAAAGCGAAAGCAGAGCTTCGCGTTATACATCCGAAGAGATCTAGAGCAGACGAGCTAGACTACTTTCTCGGACATTACGATTAAAGTTCTTCGAATTATTGAACGCGTACTTTTCAAGCCAGTCACTGAAACGTAAAGAGAAACAGGACTGAAACTCATTTAACACTTTGTTTCATGGCAGTTGCGCTTTTACTGGGTACATCTGGTGAGCTGCTTCGGGGGTTGTGTTTAGAACATCATTTTAAATCCCCTACTGACAACACAACAGAACCATCCACTTTTGAGGCAACGACAGTGAGCGTAAAGGCGACACAAAAAGCTCAGGCAACAAAGACAGCAATGCCTCCCACAAATGAGTTGGCTGTGATGAGGTCCTCGTCGGTGTCCCCAGTTCCTGTCGATGTAAGGAACGTAGAAGATCCCAGGACGTCCGATAAAGACCCGTTTGACATTACAATCACACTCGATGACTTCGACAACAGCTGTGAGACCTACTTCAGTTTCCGGGACACAAGCCCGTCTCCACGTTCCGTCATCCCAGAGGCTTCACCGGCGTTTAGGGTGAGTTTGCTCGTCGAGTTAAGGCGAAATACCACAGCCCCTACGAAATAGATAGCTAGGTTCTGGGAATAAGGTAAAATCCACAGAGAGAAATACGCAAGGGATAGTTTTGTAGTTTATTTTTATTCTTAAAAACGTTTCGACGGAATTTATAAACTATAGATCGCGTCAGTAGCAGTAACTCCCCCCCCCCTCTCCCCCTCCTCCCTCCTTCCCTTCCCTGCCCCGAAAAACATATCCACCCACGCAAAGGGGTTTCATCTATGGCAAAAAATCAACAAAAGAAACAGAAAAAAAGAAAACTTTACCTTTCCTTGGACAATTAACTGTCGCATTGCGAAGTTCAAAATACAAGTGCCATACTTCGATCTTACATAATAAGGTATTGCAAACATATGGACACGGTGCAGCACACGATTTGAGCAAAGTGCCTCTGTGTCTTGATTAACGACACACGCAGAAGACACTAATCTCTGTTTTCTTTTGTGAACATGTGTTGACTAGTACTAGTAAGTCAACACCGGACAAAGGCAAGAAAAAAGGCCAAAACAAGGGGGGGGGGGGAGCCAGCTCGTTGTAGTCAATGTTCAAATAAAAAAAAACCCCCATTCATTTGAGGTGTATTGGGGCGCTCGGTCCATGGTATGCGTGTGCGTGCATTATAGGTTGGTTATGTTATTTTTAACTTCTTGATCACATACGCCAAAACTGGTTGGGAGAAGTGTGAATACTCCCTTTCGTTAATCACGGCGTTCAGATTTCGCACAATAATGCATGTGATTCATTTAGAATCGAATGTTGTAAAGAAAGATTTTTTAAATGCCTCTATTCTCCAAACAGACTTCAAAACATGCTTCGTTTGTGGTGCAGTGTTTTTTCCTGTCTGCCATTTTGACTATACATGTATTATACTATACTCTGCATATCATATTTTCTCTGCACCTGTCAGCTCTGACAAAAGACTTTTCGCTCACAGGGAGCATCTTCCAAGCTTTCATTTTGTATCTTTTCTCCAACGAGAGAAGATCAAGATATTCAGATATGTCATCTGATCGTAACTGTAATAATATGTATTTGTATGGTGTTCTTAACAGATGTTCTTCTTTTTTTCTTTTTTCTTACAGCAAGCGTTGGGAAAAATGAAAGCTGAGACGGACGATAATATTGATTCATCTCCCTCCCCTTCCTCCTCTATGTCGCCTCCCTCACAACAAGCCTTGTCCAGTTCATCTTCATCATCAAAGAAGCAGAAAGGAGCCCTCTCATCGTCCCAAAGCGGGAAAAATTCATCTTCACAGAGAAATTCGACAACTACCTTCTCAATTTCATCCCCAAGAAAACTGGACAGTGATTCGAGTCTACGCCCCTTCTCCAACCCGTCCTCAAAACGTCCAGACAACAGACGACCAGCCTCTTTTGGGGGAGCTGATGGGGTCAAGCCACGTCCTGGCAGACGATCGAGTCACCACGAGAAACACGTGAGCTGGGCGGACGAGAGAGGCTCTGACCATCAACTCATCAACGTCCGACTAATCAGACCCAGAATCGCCATGGACGCCAGTACAGGCGTGAAGAGTGTGCCGGGACAATCGATTCTCAGGAACACAGGAACCAGCTAAATGCTTCTCCATCTTTCATATGCCTGACAATTACAAAGTCACTAGACTCTGATACTGACAAGTAAGCAGGAAGTCCAGTCGACGATCACTGCGCGGTAAGATACTGTTACTCTGGAACCCACTGCCTCCTGATTGACCTAATCTGCGTCAATGGGGGCGTAAAACTTTTACAATCGTTACTCAGGGCACTAGCTGATGTGGTATAAGACGTATATGTGTGTGTCCGGTAATGTACTGACCAAAGG